AATTATATAACTTTCTAAATTTAAAAAGGACTAACATTTCCCCTTTCAAAAAGGTCAGATCAACTCTAAAGCTTTGTCCTTTGTAAAAAGAGAAAAAAACAAAAAAAAAACAAAAGACACTGTATAATTCATAAAGAAATTTATTCAAGTTTAACATGAGGCAAACATGGTGGTATTGCAAGCTTTGCTAAAACAGTTCTATAAATATATAAAATTATTTATTTTACATTGCACAGTAAAACAGGTCTGAGCCTTAAAACACAGTACACAGATTCATAAACAGGAAGACAAACATTGGATTAAAATGTACTTTCCCTTTAAGTTGCAGATTTAAACCATTACATTTGTAACTGCTTTTAAAATACACTGTATATATTTGAATGGATGACTTTTTGGGACGACATCGCTGCTTTCAGTTTGATTTGCAAGTCAAAGTATTTTCTTGTGTGCAGTTCTCGCATGGAAGAGCACAAGAAAAAAAAAGCTTTTTAAAGCTAAAAAGTGTCACTGATCTTTTGACTGGTCAGTTACAACATGATAAAGTTTCTAACTGAACAGGATTCAGCGGGATTAAACAGTCTCTGTAGCCAATTCCAGTGCAGTACTCAGGGACCGTCCCACAACTCACAGCCTGCTGCGGTGTGTAACAGACAAGCTGGTAGGCTGAATGCTGTTTAAACCACATACTGAGACCGAGTTTATTACAGAAACTTGAAAGTTCAACCACAGACACGTTTTGGCTTCTTTCAGAATAAAGGGTCACTTCACCAGAACTACAAAAGAATTGTCTCAGAGATTTCTGACTCCACATCGCCACAATGGAGGATAATGGGAGTGTGTTCATAAAGGATTTTCTATTGAATAAGTAGTCCCTAAAAATTATCCGGAGTAATGAGGCGCCATATCTGGTCAGACATTCTGATGCTCTAAACAGCTCAAATGAAATTCCATTCACTTCCATTGTATTGGGGTGGATGTGGAACGTTCAGAGACATGCATGAAAACAAAACCAAAGCTATCTGCATGGAGAGGAACCTCTAGAGGTTAAGTAGAAAAATATATATTTATTATTTGGGCCAACTAATCTGCAGCTGTATTACAGTTTGATTGCTTGTTATGCTGTTTCGGTACCAAAGCCACTGTCCTTATCTACCACAATCCACTGACCTTTGCTCTCTGAGCTCGCTGTGTCTTTCTGTAACTGTAGTCTCAGGTCATTTGCATGCCTTGTGTTTACAGCATTTGGTTAAGGCTGGAAACAGAACTGTGGCTCCAACAAGAGGAAACAGACTAATGTAAACAGGCACTTTTAAAGAGGCAGGAAAGAAATCCACACAGAAACATGTAACAGTCAGTAGTTTAAAGTGCTGAAAGCTGCCAGTTGAAACAGGAGAATGTGAAGAAGTTGACGCCACCTGGTGAATAGTTTATAATCTGTGTTTAAAGTGAGGTAAGGAGACCAAAACTACAAGCCTCATTTCAGTAACATTATGTTTTAATGAAGGCCTAAAAGTGATAAAGTGAAAGATGAATGTTTGTCTCTGGAATCATGTTCAATGTTAAAATTTGGACTATGATCTGCAGACACCAGAAACACCCAGTTAATAAACCTGCTGTCTATTGTTTTATAGCTTTATATTGTTTATTTTATATCTCCTACAAAGCGTAATTTTCGTATCTTTACTGCTGTCAAATGACCTTCAGATCAGTCATCTTGTATTCCCTGACTGCCATTTTGTAACCTGAAATTTACGACGTGATTTCCCAAACACAAATTGAATTGTTGAAGTGACGCAGATTAAATGCTCTGCTGCTTATTTTCCAGTGCTTTCCCACCTCTGCTGTTACCTGGCCACCATTTTGTGACTTGAAGCAATAAAACTGAGCAGGAGGTTGTGATGTATTTTTAACAGCTAGCTGATCATTTAAAACTTTTGGCGCAGGTTCAGTACAGTGAAGCTCCACTGATTCTCAATTTTCTAGAGACGGCTGCCAACTACTGCGGCTGGTACACAATTGTCATTTAGTAACTTAATTTTGAGGAATGTACATTTAAAAAAAAATAATGAGTAGGAAGTCTGTACAGTCTGACAGTTGAATGTTTTGAAGCAGATTAAAGTCCACTGCTTCTCAGTTTCCGAGCCACTCTCAGCTCAGGTGTGACTTTCCATGACCTCTGTGTCCCAGAATGTGGATTTAAGAACAACTCCTCTGTGTCTTGGCTTTGGATGTCATCAGCGAGTTAAAAGCTGCTTGTTGCACAACAGCCAGGAAAGACTGGTTTCATTGCACATCTTGATCAGTTTTTTTTGTCCCCCCCCCCCC